CGAGGATTCGTCGAAGAAGTAAAAAAGAAAAAATAGTCGGATACTGGCAATGGTGAATTATCGAGGATAATTGAATTTCGGAAGATTTATACCGCCTTTTTGAAAAGCACCTCTCTCGCGAATTCGCGAGAAATCGGTACGAAGTTCTTGGAGGATTCGCCGAAGAGTAAAAATAGTTGGATATTCGAAGGTGAATTGGTGTATCGAGAAGTACGAAATTTTTCACGAGATACTTGAATTTTCGAAGAGTTTTCTCAAGTTTGAGAAGAGTGTGTTTTGGGGGAGAGATCGTGAGGTAGGGTCGATTGGAGGAAAGATGACAGTTTCGTAGAGGGGACCTAGACCGCGGTTCGATTTGGCTTGGTTCGTTCGCCTGGCAAACGACGTTCTAAATTCGTGTGGTTTCGCATCGTTCAACCCTGACATATTGACCCGAGATGAAAATAGATTAAGACTTCCACACCTGTTCGTGGTTGGTGCCGCGAGCGAGGCTGGAAAACGCCGCGGATTTTCTCCATTCGTGAGAAACAACGTGCTCGTTTCAGCATAGAGGCTGAGGAAAATGGCTGACACTCGAGGGAGTTTTGAACTTGTGTCTAGGCTAGAGAAACTGTCCGACGATTATCTAACACTCTGTTCTCAGGTTTCTTCAACTTTTCTTCGTGCTCTTCTTTTCAGAGGAAAATCACTTGTTACTCTATCGCAGAAAATTAAGTAGTATAATTTAAAAAATTTTTCATTTTTAAAATAAGGAAATTAAAAATCGCTGTGAAATTTCTAATTTATCTTCAATTTAAAAAGTAAACAAATTAAAGATCGCTGTGCTTTACTTTGGAACGAGAAGAAAGGTATATAAACGAAACATAATTTAAAAGAAAGATGAATTTCTGATTTTTGGAGAAGCGTTGGTTGTTCCTTGAAAAATCTTAATTTTCGCAACTCGATATGGAAGAGTATTGCTATAATTTTAGGTTGCAGTTCATTTTCCGGTTGTTCGATTTTCATGGGTCCATAAAACAGGACGTTAACGTTCCATAGCCAGTTGACCAGCAGAACGATCGATTAGGAAACAGAGTTTGCACATGGTTTTGAAAGGCCGACCCACGCGCAGGTTAGTTAAACTGGGCGATTTAGAGCAGACGAGAAAGTGCCTGTGATTATGATAACTAGCCGCAATAAACCTAATGATATAAACCGCTCAGAGAGAGAGAGAGAGATTGTTGTTTAAAGAATGTTACCGGCAAGATGGAACGAGGGAGTTAACTCGACTTCCATCTTGACGTCGAGACGTTGCACCAGACAACGTTGACAATTGTCAGCTTTTGCACAACGCGTGCAATCCTTCGAAAGAAGATTCTCAGAGAAGTGAAACTGTCTCGATTTCGAAGAAAGGACAAGTAGTACACTTTTCCTACATTTTTCACGGTTAATCTTTACCAGAGAGGCTTAGAAAATTTCCAACTTTCTGACATTCCGTAAAGGTTCCCAAAGATTTGCCAAGAAAAAATTCTTCCCTAATTCGTAAGGGACTCCGAGAGATTCGACAGTACGTAGACAAATCCTCTTCCTCGAGAGAGAGAGAAAGAGAGAGAGAGAGAGAGAGAGAGAATCTTATTTCTTACAGAATACTTTTCATACTTTTGCAATTCCTCCCTCCAAGCAGCCTCTCCGGAGGTGGTCGCTTTCACGACAAGCATAGACACTTGCGACAGAGCCCTTCGTAGACCAGACAACGCCATTCCCTCGCCCAAGTGGACCTTTCCAGATCCTGAGGAGCTTGGTGAAAGTGTTTTCGACGTTGTTCCATCCATTCTCTTCTCCTATTCGTCCTTTCCACCCTTCAGACCCATTTCGTTTCCTTATTACTCCTGCACATGGTTCGTTCCGCACGTTTATCAACGATTACCAATCGACGGTAGTATCTTCATCGTTGTATGTGTATTTCTTCTCACTCTCTTTTCTAACTTGTCGACAAAATCAAAGGTCGGTGTACGATAAAAATAAATGCTTGTAGATCTAGCCACGCGTGGACGCTCGCTACCTCTATTTAGAGCGAAACTACTCACGATAGGCGTTATAAATGAATAAATCAAAAGGAGAAGAAAAAGAAAAGAAAGAACGAAAAAACGAAAAGAAAAAGAAGCTTGGCCGTTTCGTTTTAAACAACGATTCTCGTCGTGTATGTGTGTGTTTGTGTGTGCGCGCGTGTGTGTGCTCGAGCACGCTTCTAGCGGCCCCGACTCGTATTTCGGCTGCACCGGAATTTCGCCGTCTAAGTTTAAGCTTTCTCGAGCGAGGCCGCTTCTAGCGGATGCTCTCGAGCCGCAACGGATAAAGAACGCATCGTCAGAGCCAAATATCGCAGCCTGTCCAGAGCCACTGGAAAATCCAGATCAGCCTTTTGCACCACATCCGTTTATCGACGTTCACCACGCGTTCTTGAAACGCGTCTCTTGATCACCAAAACACTATTACCCGCGCACTCTAACTCCACCGGACTTTACACGATCTCCTTCTTCTCAATCGAGGCGCGTACACTCGCACACATTGGTACGTTAGATGAATCTTCGCCGAGCGAAGTTCTACTCAACACTGATTCTAACAATAGTTCGATCTTTCTCGGAAGAAATCACTTCACGGAAATCACTTCTCGGAAATCACTTCTCAGAGGAGGATGAACCTTTTGTCGCGCGCGCGCGCGAGAGAGAGGGGGGAATTTTGATCACTGATTTGTGTACACTTTGACACGATGATTTGCGAGACTGTCGCGTTACACCCGGTGGAATTATCGGTGAGATAATTGAAGATAGTAGAGGAAGAGGGGGAGAGAAAGGGAGGATCGCGAGGGATTAGTACTTGTTGAATTAAAACGGGTCCGTTGGCGTACGATTCGTGGCTCGACCGACACTGAGGCGGTCCAATTTCGACCCTTGGCCAACGATTTCCCTTTTGTCTTTGCACGCCAGCTTTGGCACCGTTCTGCGAATCGGTCAGATTCGTTTGATTCGCTAGAGATGGAGCCTCGATGACACGCGACAACCAATCTACCTTGGGAACGAAATTGTCGCACCGGTGCGTTCGCATCTGCCGCGCGATTCTTCGATTCGAGATCGGGGAGGAGGCTTCTGTCGTTTCGTGGAATTTTAGAAGTAACTGTATTGTTGCTGTTGGGTATTTTTTTAAGAGATTTGGGCAACTGTGTCTTCTAAGTTCAAAGGTGGACTTAGCGCAGCTAAAGCAGCAAGGTGAACGAATGATCGATTGGGACCGAATCGTTTATTGTCATTTGATGTCAGACTAATATGTTTGGCTCCCGCGCATTTCGCGAATCCTTGCAAGAATCAACGAAACAGTCTTTAAAAGTACCCTCGCAAGATTGTGTTCAAGTCCTTAGTATACACAGTGATGACCGAATTTTCAATAATGTTACCGAAAGCTCAAGAATGTCCACGTTCAAGGTGTTACCGTAATATTTAAATTTCAGTAGCAGTAATCACGTGTATCTTAAAAGTCTTGGGTATCAGAGTATCTTAGAATCGCATAATCCTAATATTTTCATTCAAACTTCTCTAGGAGAAACGGTAACTTCACATGCACCAATTTAACAGATTACTGTACAATTCATTTCGCATCCAAACTTGGTCAATCCCGGTTTTCTAATCGGTGTCTCGTCGATTGGGACGTGTTCATCGTTGTTTCGTCAATTAAGTTTTCTCGGACGGACGCGAAAGTGTGGGAGTAAATTGGTCGTTTATTGCAACAATAATAGGGAGGATTACGCTGTGGAGGGTAGAGTGAAACGTGTGTCCGGCGTGAAAGCGGAGGAAGAAACGGGCAAAAGGGAATGGAGCTTAACGAGAAGGATGGTTCGCCCCCCAGCGAAACGTGAAGGTTTTTATCGTGCACGCGCAGACACACGGAACGAGAGAGAGAGAGCGACGCCGCGGCGTCGGAAAGCAGGGATTCCCGGCGAGGCGTCTTCCGCAATTAGGCGCTTCTATTCTGGTCACGAAAAGCAGGATTTCTGCCGATCGTGGCAGGGAAACGGGAACGACGCTATTTTCGCGGGGTCGCGAGCCACGTATTGTGATCCAGTTTTCATGACGTTGTTGCGTGTATTTTTGACGGCGCCTTTGACGCATTCGTCTCGCGATTCCTCCCTCGATCTTGCGGTAATTGCTCTCAGACAGATCCTCCGGCGATCTTCGGACGCTAACAATGATTCGTTATCCCGATTTTTGCGTGCAAAGGGTAGATACGAGTACTTTTTCATTTTTTCGGTTTATGGCATCTCGTAGGTAATTTCAAGTTCAAGGGTCAATTATTCAATTCGAGGATCAATTATTGCAATTATTTTTAATTATGCTCGAATTTACTTTTTGTACGGCTGTTGATTTTTTGTTAATTTTTCGATACATTCTTTGTGTTCTTGGTCTCTGACTTTTAATTTTTTAAATTCGTAGCGTTCAGTATTTATCGGGTTAATTATTGCAATTATCGTAAATTATTTGCTGTTTATTTCTTAGTTGATTTTCTGATACGTTTTCTTTAATTAAAAGAACAGTTTTTTTCTTGGTTTCTGACTTAAATTTTGAAGTTCATAACGTTCAGTATTAAAAGGGTTAATTATCGCAAATTACTTTGGAATTCACTTTTCACTCGTGCGGTGCATAGCTGTTTATTTATTTTTCTCCATTTTTTCACGCATTTTCTATGTTTTTTTTTCTTATCGAAAGAATTGCTCCTTATTTTTTTGGTCTCTGACCTTTAATTATTCCACAGCCAGTTAGAGTATTCCGATGTTTCACGTTCGTTTTGCGGGCTACACGTGACTTCTAGACAGCAATGCCGCCGTAAAAACACAGTTCGTTAACTATTCTCCGTCTGTACCGTAAAAATATACGTCCCTCAAGGTAACTCTATATCTCTCGCATACGTTGAATAAAATATCAGGGTACTTACAGAGAACGAAGAAGAGCGAAAATATTCGCTTTCCTCGAAGAACTGAACGTTCCCATTTCAAGTTTATCCAAGTAACGCTAATTTTTTCGCTCTGTTTTCGACAGTTTTCAGTCTTTTACAAGTTCCGCTATCGGTGGGGAAAAGTTGACCCAAATGGAAACGTGGAAAACGTTTCGACCAATCGCCACAAGCCTACGAATACTTATCGAACGGTGATTAACTTTGGCTAATTAGTAATGTATAATTATTGCGGTATGTATATTTAAAGTTCATTTCCTTGTCTTAATTTTCTTCCAACTATTCACTTACGTTATTTATACTCGGATATATAGCACCTAATTGATTTTTCGTTTTCCGCACTTTCTCAAAAGAGTGTCTCATCCGCGATATCGAAATGAATTTTATATCAAATGTTCGCGCTCGTATTTTCCGCAGGCGTGTTAGTCGTAATCGGAATTATCTCTTGGTAGCGCGCACTCGATCAATTATTGCCCAAAAACGTATAAATTTTATTCAAATCAGTTTGTTCAAGCTACGTGCGTATTATTATTATTTTTTCCCCGTTTCTGGGGGGGGGGACCTCGAGGTTCGACCGCAAAGGGTTAAACTAAATTCTATTGTTGTATACCGACGTCATCTGTTGTTCGAAATCGCGCTGTAGATTCACGACTTCATCCTTTACCTACGACTCACCCTCGAACTCTTCCCTTGGCATACCAAACCCTTACAAACCCTAACCTCCACTCCTCAAGACACGAACACATATATTACACGTCCTTCCTACAAAATCAGAGATTTTCAACATCCACGCTCTACTGCAAAAAATACTACAATTCGACTTGTATCCACCCCCGTTCATCTTACGAGTTACTTCAGCAGTGCGTTCTATACGCCTTCAGCTATCGAGAAAAATACCGTTTAACTTTTATCGCTGTGCCAATTAGAAACAGAGATACCACGGTTCAACCCCTTGACCTAGAATTTTCTCCGACTGTGCATCTAAGCGTCGGTCATTTACCGTTTCAGTACTGTATCAGGTAACAAAAGTTAATCTGTTACAGATTGATCACATTTACTAATTCTCAGTATTATAAATTCATACGAAAGTTTGTCGTATTGTCATAAGTTAAGGGGTTAAATTTCCCTACGGACTTTCCCAACAACCCAATACTTGGTCAACGTGTATGTATCTCATTTTCAGTTGTCCCTTGTACAGTTGTCCCTTGATAAACGACGAATAACACGGAATAAAACAGTACATTCTAACATTACACGCGTGAAAAGAAATTTGTTAAAAAATGAAGTTGCTCAGGATCCCTCGTTTCTGCCCCTCGACGTTTCCCCTACCCGCCTCGTCGACAGAGTCATCGCAGACTTTCAACGCAACGGTGGCCGCGGGAACAGTCGAGTTGACCAGTAGCTCGTTCAATGGCACCGTATGCTCGTCCAATTCCTCGTCGTTGGTTCTGTCTTTCGTCAGAGAACCCTTTTCGGTCATGAGCATTTCGTTGAACGATCTCGATGTTCCTCCCGTGTCTCTTCCTCTTCGCCCCGTATTTATAGATTCCTCTTCGTCTCACTTCACCAACCGAATACACACACCGCCTATGTAGTAATTCACCCTCCCCCGGTTCTTCTTCCCTTCGCCGGCAATTAATCGCAATCTCTATTTAACTGCGGGTTTTTTCGAAGATTCGAAAAAAAGAAATTTCCAAAAGTACAGTTCTCTTCCATTTCGTTCGTTCGTACACCGTAAGAAAACACCGTGCAGAGAGATTTTCCACCTGCTCGTAAAAAGTTTCTAATGCCACACACACACGCGCGCCCGCACACTTTTCCGCGGATTGACTCACGTGTTGTACGCGGCCCCTTGATGTAGTACAGCTTTGGCGTTGTGCGTCAGTAGGTTTTACGACACGAGTGTACGCTATTCACGGTTCACTTCTGCCTCTGTGAAATTTAGACAGGCTACGTTGGAGTATTTTACATTCGTTTATCGTAGAACCCATTAGCCAGGGAAACATTATCTTCTCAGGGACACCTATATCGAGTTCAATGGTATTTCTCCTGTGTCTTCGTGAACTTTTTCTCTCTCGACTCTAGTCGGTAGAACGATCCAGAAAAATCTTCACCTTCTCGACAGCTCGTATTAACCCTTTGACAGCCTGATATAATTACCAATTAGAGTGTACCCTTTCGAATAATCACGTCTACGTAACCCCCGCAGTTCCGATACAAATATTTAGTCCCTTTCTTCCTAAAAGTGTTCGTTGTTTAACGCACAGCCCGAGTCTCTCGCTCGGGACAAACTGTCGAAGGGTTAAACACGATACTGTATACCAGTTACGAAACTTGACAGTGTCTCGATAGATTGAACAACACCGTTAACCACTAAACAAACCATGATACCGAAGTTCCTCATTAGCAATGCAAACCGACCCACGTCCACACGGGTCGTACGATCTCTCGTACGTCCATTCTATCGCTTATTCCACAACTCATTTCGTCATCGTTATCACTTTTCCGCAACCGTCGTCATCGCCGCTGACACAGTGATAATCTCTTCTCGAAACCTCGCTTGATCCCCGAACCTCGCTTGAACCACAATTGAAATATGAAAAACAGATCCGAGTTTCCTCTTCGTCACGATTCAACGGCAACACGTTCCTCCGGAACACTCGGGCCAGGCAACAAGCATATTTGTCCAGTTGTCGGCGCTTCCGTGCGCAGATTGCACGCTATTTCCAACAGCCGGTCACGCTGCCCCGGCTCGCGATCATTCCGAGGATCATTCATAATTCCCCGCGACGAGCTCTTCTTTCCCTTCACCCTCCCTCCACCCACAGCCCCTCTGTCGCGTGCACCGCCGCGTCGGTTGCATAAGAAAAGTGTCCTACGCGATCCTTCTCCTTCGATCCTTTCTTCTCTCTGGCGCTGATCCCAGCCGGCGAAAACTCGCTCGGAACCTGTCAACGCGAGAACCACTTCTGAGATTGCGTGCGCCGCGGCATAAGCGAAAATAATCCACGCACACGCGGTCACGCACCCACACTTTCTTAACGTCCAAGTCTCGACGGATGTACCGCGGACGTGTTTGCGTGCCACTTTACGCATCGTCGGTGTGTCGAAAGGCGAGAAAGAGAGAGAGAGAGAGAGTTGCGCGTATCGGGATATGTAGCGATGGTTGTGTGGGGAAAACGCGTGCCACATGGAAATGCAGAGGCGTGTGAGTGCGTGGCCCCGCTATAGCAGGCCTGACATGTGGGCAGAGCTGAAGAGATAAGATTATGCGGACCTCCACACACTCGTAACTATTCCACGCGAATTTTTGTCGCAATTGTCCGTGCCTCTAGCCGATGTTGGGGAGTTGTTTCAGGAGTTGTAGGTTTTCCTGGGTATCGTGCGGCTTTGCGTGAGTGATTCTGTAGGTTGCGAGTTGGATGATCAGGGATTGTTTGAAGAATTTTTAGTTTCACCTAAAAGCCACTTTTGTTTGACTGTAAGTTTGAGGTTTCTGGGTGAAAAAGGACCCAAGACTTGTAAACCTTTGAATTCAATCTTCAAGTTAGACCACCACGGAGACGAACAAATTTTCCTTTCTAATGGTGAATTTGCAATTCAATTTTTGAATTTCCAGAAAAGCTCCAGGTGCGTCAAACTTTCGGAACTTTTTGATTTTATTGTATTCAGAATGATAGTCTTGGGTCTCTTTTCACCCAAAAATCTTACGTGCGATAAATATTTTACCAGCACTCCATGTGAACCTAGATGATCAAGTTTTAATGTAACGTTAAGGGAACATACATTTGCTAACAGCAAAAGTAAGTAAAAAGTTAAGAAAGCGACGGGTCCAAAGTGACCCGAGCACCGTACTACGGTTAAACAGTCATTGAGAGAACAGTCGTTGCTCTTTGAAGAGGCACGAAGATTACTCTTGCAATTAAAATCACGTCAACCAATTTTGAAAGAAAAAGAACGCGTTCAAAGCTTCTCATGCATTCTACAAACCTGTGCAACGTCGTTAACATATGTGGAATTGCTGAAAAAATTCTCTCAGCAGAACACTCTAGAACGTTCGCACTAAAAGAGAGAATAGAAAAAGAGCGAAAAAAAAGATTCAGTTGTAGCCCCTCGTAACGGTTATGGGTCACCGGTTTTAACGGAGGAGATCTTCGAGGTGTGTGTCTCAATGGAATTGTAAGAGGATTGTGAAAATTGACTTTTGTTTGATCACTGGTCTCGTTGTGAGAAGCGACTTTGTACTTGAAACGTAGCTAACACGTGCTCTCGCCAAGTGACGGGATTTGTTGACTCGTGGGACTTTTCTTGGCACCGGTTTCTAGACGGATCAAAGAGAGAACTCTCGAATGTATACATATAAACTGGAGGAATTATAATATTAAACAAAATATTTCCTGTGAATTTCAGGAAATTCGACAAAGTTTCCCCCCCCCCCCTTTATTGCTTCAAAATTGAAACGGTCGAAACTAATTTTCGTTCGACTAATGCAGAAATCGTCGAATTTTTTTTTTTTCGCGAATATCCGTGCCACTCTAGCGGCACAAATAGAAAAACGAGCGGTATATACGTATGCATGTATATCTACATATACGTATACATGTATATGCATACGCCTCCTCGATCGCCAACACGTTGGTACGTGTCACACATTCTCCTGACTGGCGTAAGCAGCACAAGTGGCTTTATACATATGTATGCGATGTAAATAAGCGAGCACGTAATGTAAACGGTGCGCAAAAATACATGTAATACCGGATTATCACGGCTACGCGTACCGAAACGTTTAGCTGATAACTCGGGACTTGTTTTAATTAGTCCCGTTAAAGGACGTGAAAGTCTCGGAGAACGTTACGTTCGATTGAAATTCAATTCAGGCTGAAAGACAAAGTTATTGTACACGTACTACTCGTGTCCTGTTTCCTTTTTAACGCCGCTAACCACAGGAATTTTTTCGCGATCGTTATACCGCCGTTTCCTTTACCACACTTATCGCGTCTTTTGAATTTCTTAACGACTAGCGGATCGTTTTGCGTTCCAGTTCGCTGTTTCGACTTGTATAACTGAAATAGTAAAGAATCGTTTATTTCTTCGTAGGAGATTGAGAAACTTGTTACGATGCTCCAGGATCTGGTAAATTGGATCGAGTTAGATAAATAGTAATAAATGACAGGGGTTCTCGAATGGAAATTCACGGTTGAATATATTTATTATTTTTCTCTGGTTATTGGAAAGGTAAATATTTGATCTTGAATCGCTTCTGTACAAGTGTCGCCATCTAGATAGACGCCATTGTAGTTTCATAGGTGGAGCTGCGTTAGTCCTAAATTTGAAGCGATCGCTGTAGGGACGCGCGCGGTTAAAGTTTAACAAAATATCTCGTGTGAAAAAAGTGTGTGATTACGAAACTTGGATGGAGTTGTTTGTTACTGTGATAAGTCAGCGAGTCTATAGACGTAAGATGCAGCGTGGCAGATTACTTCGTAGCAGAACTCGAAATTTCCGCCTACTGGCCATAGGTATATGTAGAACATACATACTTACGCACGTCTTCGTTTCTCTTGCAATCTGTTCCGACTATATGTGTAATTGGACGAGATTCAAAAAGTGCAATTGACAGGCAAGGTTAATGATTTCAGGGTTAAATTAACATTAAAATTTATTGTCTAAAATGTCGCTGTTCTTATGTACATATATACAACTCTTACGAAGAAAATGTTTAGTCCTTGATTATATTTCGAAACTTAAGTTCCATCGAAAGGAACGCCCTCATATTAGGATCTTGCACTTTCTCCATGATCAATTTTTGCACGTCCACGTCGCTTTTTTTAAGTGTGGCAGTTAGTTTTTCTGCATATTGGATCCAAACGCAATTTGTACACCCGGACATGCAACAGTTCGTGGGTTCTGACATATCGTCTATCGAGGAGGAATCATTAGGATCGTTTTTAGTAGTCTTGTTCTCCTCGGATGATAACGTTGCACTTGTTCCATGGATACATCTTTTAGGGTTGGAATAGACTCGTTGACAATTGCACTTTAATCGATACGTAATTAATCGACACGATCGAACTTGACTCATTATTGTTTTTTTTTATACTTTATGGTATACCTGGTTGCAAAAACAATGAACATTATGCGATAAGCATGTGATGCGAGAAACAATGTTATTCGTATGGTTAGTATTCACGATATACAGTGGATTGTTTTAACGTTCATGTATGATACGTATAAATTTAAAGTTTGTAGATGATAAGTTTAGATGTTTGATAAAAAGGTAAGCACTGTTTTCTAACCTCTGTGGACACTGCAAATACGTTTCGATACATCATGAGCAGAGTAATTTCTAGATGTCTCTAGTGGCTATATAATTGTATACGTGCAATTGCAAGTTTAAAATATTTTTAATCGTAAAACAGTTTCATTTCTTAGAAAATATTGTATATAGACCGAAATTGATAAACAGTTGTATCTTCACAAATATAACTTTTCATTATCAATTCAATACGTTGTTCTTATTTTAAATTTTTATTTTAATATTAGCATCTATTTTACGTGCGCTTTTGACGCGGGAAAATTTTGCAAATATAAAACTTTACTGTTCCTTTTTTCTTTTTTTTTTGAGCATTCTCATCTATTTCTGTGGAAGTTAATGTGTTTGAAATGGTATTGATTAGAGTATTGAAAGTCGAACGATTTATTCGCGGCCATTTTGAATCCACCATATTTTCGCGCCTATTTTCCTACGCATTTACAAGCAGACGACAGTGTTACCCACGTGAAAGTCGTTTTTCAAAGAAAAATGGGTCGTAAAATTCCTGGGAAAAAGCATAGGGGTGTGAAAGATCCTCTTCAGCAACAGGCGAAACGACAGGCAGAGTGAGTTGTACATTAAATAAACTTTATCGTCGAATCATTTACATAGGTTAGCAACCTGCGTGTTATAGGTTAGAGAACAAGATAAACGCACCGCCAAAAGATCCGGTTGATCAACCAATACCGAAAAGTTTAGAAAGAATAGTGAAATTAAAAGATGCAATAAAGTCAGGAAAGGTAGTTCGGGTAAATAGAACGAAAAGAAAAAAGAGGAAGGATGCACTGATATGCGTGGGTCGAGGGAATCCTAAGCCTTTACATCCCAAGGCTAAGCCAGACAAAGTTGTTCCTATATTTGAACAGAGGCCCGGAGAAAACGAAGAAAAGTTTATGCGTAGAGTTAACAGGGAAACACAAGCATTTATTAATGAAACTGCCTTTGAGAATAAGTACGGTGTTCAAGTGAATAGAAATCTGGAAACAGGGAGGGTTGAAGGATTGTCAAAATGCGATATAACAGAATTTGATAAAATTCAAAGGGTAAATGCAAAGCATAGGAATATTAAAAAGAAGAAGAAGAAGACCACTGAGGAACCTAAGATGACCAAAGCTGAGAAGAGGAAGGAGAAATTGAAATTAAAGAAACAGAAACAGTTAGAAGAAAAGATAGATGATTTTGATAGTTTTAAAGATCAAGTTAAATTTGGTGAAGTTGTTCATGAACCACCTCAATTACAAGTTAGGCCAAGAAAGGCTGAAACTATAAGTACCTCTAAGGTACATCTTCTTGGACCGTACTTTCTTGTTTTTTCATATATTTAGTATTTATTAAGTACATTTTGTTCTGTTACAGCCTGGCAAGAAGGAACTCCTCCTACATTCTGTGCTCAAACAGAATGAGAAGACAAAAATGGATCCTAAGAAAGCAACACCCATAGACAGGAGAGGCAAGCGTAAAAATTTGCCAGTTGGGGAAAGAAGGCAGTTAGAAAAAGAACAAAGTGACATCATAGCACAGTATAGAAGGTTGAAAGCACAATGGCCTACTGGTGTTAACAACTAGGGTATGTACATGTTCATAAACTATGGAATGTTGAATGTAGATTTTTCATATCGCTATGTTGTATCATTTTGTTCTACTCGATTGACCATTTTTATTTAATAAAATGTACTATTTTACATCATAGGAAACTGAAATTAAACATTTTAATTTTTGAAATTAAACACTGTATTTTTTTATACAATTATCAGGATTAACACAAAAATAGATATATAAGTTCTCATAGACAGGTTTTTCTGTGCAATACATGTATAGATACTAGAAATTTGTTCATAAGGGTTAGTGGTAAAGGTTCATTACGAATAATAAAAGAAAAAATAAAAAAACATTTCTAACAGGTTTTGTGTTAAGTTGATTCAAGTTATTTCTTAGCACCAGTGCAGTGTACTTATAATTTTTAGAGTTGCCATTCAACACCTTTTAACAATAATCTTATCCAGTAGTCCATACAAATGGTTCCAACCTCTCTTCTATAGGTAAAAGATTGTTCAAAGTTTCAAGACTCTCCAAAGTTTGATTAAGAAGAGTGTGACATTTAGTTAGTTGTTTGCTAAGCTCGTGTACTTTGTTCAATTGTTCAGCAAACGTGGCAAACTTCTTTCTCCTTTCTGTTACCAAATTCAGGATCCTGGTAACTTCTGGCTCAATGTTAATATGTAGATTAGCTTGTTCACTGGCGATCATTTGTGCATTAGTATTAAGATGGTGCTGATAGCGGGCACAGAGATTGAACAGACCAATGGGATTTAGCCTTTCCAGGACTTCTGGATCCCTCACACCTGGGGGTAAATTGAGAGTGCCACGCATGATAGGTAGGAACATGGGAATTCTTTGTAATTTAACAAGGTCAGGATCTTTGTCAGCTGTGGGGTCTGCTGCAGCAGATTTCACTACTACTATGTTGTGAATTTTATCAGAGGTAGTTTTCCTGTAATTAATTAACAGTTTTTTATATATGTGTTTATTGCTCAAATAAAGTATATTTTTATTTACTTAAATATGTATGTATGTATGTTACCTGTAGCTACTGGAACCTAAGCTATTCTTACGTCTAGATATATCTTGTGTACCCAAACTTTTTCCTCTATACAACTGTGACTGTTTATTCGTCATCTTTGGTGAATCTCCAATAGGTCTATTCACAGTGTAAGATATATAAGGTAGATCAGAATCCGAACAAATGCTGGCACCAGGACTGATACATCTTGGCGGTGTGTCTTCTGGTACTCTTTCACGATTAGGTACACTTTTACCACGTCTCAGTGGTGTGTTTCTTGCCCTATTTGTGCTAGCACTTTGTGTACCTCCCTGAGAACTTTGTTCCGATCCCATCCTGATTTCTTTCTTTCAACAAATTCCCCCTGATACTTCAACAAGACTTACATAAAGTATATATACATATACACTTAATCAACAACCTACATTAATCTTCTTTGTTTCACAACGAAAATCTCGTACAATTATCCTCCAATTAATCATATAAACATCTGATGACAAACATAATCATAACAATAATCGTCATGTTAGATTTAAGGCCACTTCACATTGCTCATTCACTTGCAACGTTCCAATTAGCGTTTCCTTACAAGTGTGCATTTTTGTTCATTTCGCGATTAAAGTGGCTCGCGCTAATCGATAACGCTTATAACCGTTTTCTTCGATACACCGTGCGTTTTTTCCACCCGCTTTGTCGCGTTGTCACTGCGTTATTGTTTGAACCTCAACTGTATCGACGATACGGAATAATAGAATCACCTCGAAATCGGTTTTTACTCTCTGTTGTCAAAAAGTCATTTTCTTTTCGTCATCGATTGTTCAAGCTGTTAGAGTGGATTCACGCGTGGCGCGGCTGTTCACACGACTATAACACCATCTGTTGAAATCGATTTCGAGGTTGAACACGAAAGGACGCATTTTCGCTCGATAACACATTTTCCTTATCATTTTTTTTCTTCCAAAGCATATCGGTTAAGAACAATATCTCGAGCGAATAAAAAGAAAGCGTCACTTTATGAAATAAAAATTCGAGTATATCGCGTCGGAATTTTTTCCCCCCCGAACATTGTATTTAACATTTACTTTATTTCCTCGAAGTTGGTCAGGGCCGTTTCGAAAAATATACGGCCCACGTTTTATTATCGCCAGAGCAGACCGATACATAAATTGCCGGTCTGATGACACGGTCGACCATCGATTTTATCGCCCGGGACCGATTTTCGTATTTCCAACACGTGCCGTCTAAATCTTTTGATAACAACTAAACACACGATGATCGATGTGTTGTTTTTTAAACGGTTTTACGCTACCGCAGATAAACGAACGTCGTCCATTTCCTTTTTGTAATTAGATATACCGAAATGGGAAAGAAGAGAAAGAGGAACAATCCAATTTATCCTTTTTTTTTTTTCTCTTCTTGTTTTCAATATTTTCTGAGATAATTTAAATATATTCAGAGATTCGTCCGACGATTTGGTTACGCGAGCGTGTTGCGTAAAATGGTAATTCTCGAGCGCAGCAATCCTTCTCTATACCTATTATTTATTTCTCGACTTTATCTTCGGTGGTTTCCTTGCTTCTTCCGAGCTTGCGAAAGCGTATCAACATTAAATTTACATCGATTCTCACGGCGTCGCGCGACGTACCGTTAGACTTCATTTTTCCTCGGTCTGACACCTGAAGCGTTCGCGTCGGCCGAGGAGAATTCTTGTGCAATCGCGTTTGTATGTCAACGAACGACATTTTCTGGAGCCTTCGCCGCTGAATCGCGTGGTTATCGAGCATCCAGAATTTATCGCGTGAGCGTTCCTGTTTGTTTTCGCTCCGATTATTTCTTTCAACTATCGTACACACTTGGAGGCATTGAAATTTCGATCGATTCGTCAATCGTAATATTCTTCGACTCTAGGAATCTGAGTCGGTAAAGGAAGGCTACATTTTTTTCAAAAAATTATTTTCCTCCCGAACGTTTTTATCGCCGTATTATTTCTTTAGATGAAAAAAAGTAGAATTTGAAATTGAAAAAAAAAATATAGACTGATATACAAAAAATTGAGCGTGAATTTGAAAACTTATTAGATTATCTGCGACAGAAAAATTTCGATCGATCCAGCAACAGCGAAAAGAGTAGAAACGATCGCGTTATCGAGTTCGCAGTGTGTTTTAAAAAAACCGTAAAATAGCTTGTCAAGTAGATGGAACGTGAAAGTAAAACTTAAAAAAAATTTGCAAAATTGAACCTTTCGAAGAGAAGTAAAATTACAGTTTCGTGAGATCTCGAAGAACCATAGAGCACCTAATAGGATTTTCTTGTTCACCCGTTAGTATCGACCGTTCACGCGATCAATTCGACATTTTTTTTCGCGACTTTCCACCGTGCACTTTCCACTTTCGTCTATCGCGTGACCATTTTCTGTATAAACAACGGGCGAGCGATCGGAAGCCATTTAGAAAGCGGGCGTACGGTTTTATGAAAAAATAAAAGCCGCTCGTTTCGCAGCGCGCACCGATGAAATAATGATCCGTGCTGGTAGAGAGGCGATCGGAAGCGTAATTTGCAGGACTAGTACAGCAAAGTGTGTCTACCTTACGCGCGACACGCTTCACGTTTCATCGACACGCTTCCTCTTAGGTTGCTTCCCGTGATTTTTTAAACGAGCCGCACGTTACTCAACCACTTTCGAACGCATCGACGTATCACGGAGTGTTATCTTCACGAGACCAGTCATCGGCCCGGGTTTTCTTATCGACGTCCGACCAATTCGAAACGCTGGACCGTGAGTCTCTAAATACGGGGCCCGCAGCTGAACTTCCCGAGTGCCGGAAAAATTCGGGGATCGCGGGGGAAGAATTCATTTGCAGGGGGACGTGTTTTGGTAAAATCGAAACGGAGGGCGGAAAAAGAAGAGGTGCATCCTGTCGTCGGTTTTGGGTGGAGCTTGTTTAATTAGGGAATGAGATTTTTACGATTGGTGAAAATATTTCGGTATACTTTCGATATTTTTTCTCAAGTTTTAAAAATTTTTAAGTACTCTGAGTCTTAGCTTATTTTGCAAAGTATGCTGAGATATCTTTATTCCTAAGTATGTATCTCAATTAATTGCTGTTTGTTAGTTATCACTTTTGATGTAAATTCGACGTTTTAACAGTTTCCCATTGGATTCCATTAAACTTGAATTGTTTTTCGTAAATTTTCAAAATACAGTATATTCTCCACAACTGTCAGACCGCAAGGAAGCTAAACCTGACACTCGTAGAGTCAGGGACTACGTTTTCGAGCCTCGCTCCCGCCTTTGTAGTTTGCCGAACGTAGACAAGGACAGCGAATAAAAGATAAGCATGAAAGGTGTGTCGAGGCAACTAAGCGATTTAAATATCAACTTTTTTAATTTGACGTTTTTCTATCCCG